CCCAGCAAAGCAAAGAGCACCTGCCAGTGGGGACATGCTGGTGGAGTCCCCCATCACCCAGAATCGTGACTTCTTTCTTTCCCGCTGGAAGGGAAACAAACGTAACTCGACAGGGAAATTTCCTCTATTTACTTCAATTTCTCTTGAGGAGACCAAACACTCTGTTTTCCCCAACGGCCCTCTCATTTATTAAGAGAGAAAATAGTATCGAACAGGACGGCATTCTTCAAAGGCAGGGTTTAAAAATCTCATTTTTGTGTTAGGCGCAAAACACACTTTGCTACCATCCTACCAATCACAGACTGTCGGAATATCCCCGACGTGTTTTACAGAAAAGAACAGCCATGCCACTGAGTTGGAAGCATGTTCCTAGAGCAAGTCCCTGTGGATCAGACAGCCGCCAGGAAGGTAAACCACCCATAGCCGGCGGGAAAAGCTCACTTTTGGAATTCCCTGCATGTGTGTGAACGTAACACGTCCAAGATCCTTCAAGCGAGGGAAGGGGCCTTGGAGACACCCTGACCTCAGACCCCAGTTCCCTGGGCTGCGCCCTGCGGAAGGGTCTGTCCCCCACTCCCGAGACGCTGGGGCCCCCGAGCCCAGGCCCCCAGGCTTACGTGGTGAGCAGTGTCTACTTGCTGTCCATGCTATAGCAGTGAACGTCACCCTTCCCCCTGGCGTCGAAGCCCGGCAGCGGCTGCCCGTACTTGTCCACGCACCAGCAGAAGCCTCGCTTCCTGCCCTTGGACGGGCGGCACTGTGGGAGGGCGCAGGGGACACAGTGAGCCCGGAGGCGCCACTACGGGGTCCCGACCCATGGAGGCTCTCTCAGGGCCCTCTGCACTTGCATGTAGGAGTGAGTCCTCCAGAGAGGCAGGGCCAGGGCAGTCTGTGTCTCTCGGGCCTCGGGGATACCTGCAGGCACACCTGGGGACTGGGGCACACATCCCCCAGTGCACCTGCGTCCCAGGGCGCACGGCAGCTCGGAGTGCACGTGTCCCAGACTGCCCGCCAAGAGGCCCACCCGGGTTCTCGGTGTGGGTCTGCTGAGCGAGTGACCAATGGGGACGAACGGGGAGCAGAAGTGCTGCTGGTGAGCAGGAACAAGCGTGAAGGTGAGATGGTGGCCAGGGCAGACGGGCCGTGGGACCGAAGCCAGGGCCACAAGCACCTTGGCGGCGGCCTCGCGAATCCTGCAGATCCAGTGGGGCCGTAATGCAGTACCAGACCCACAGAGACGCACTTATCGTGGCTTCAAGTAACAATGCCGCCCACGTGTCAGGACCACTGGGCGGGATGGGCCGGTGGGGGGTGTCTCAGGGACACTGTTTGGCCCGCGACCTCACGTCCCTATGATGGTTATGCACAATGTTACCCCTGACACAGTGCAGCTGTGTCCCTGTGCTGTCACACTTAACCAAGGGCCCCGGGGGGGGGGGGGGGGGGAGGGGACAGCACACTGCCCGTGGGCGGAGGGAGGGCACGTTGGCCTCCCGTGGGCATCAGGCATGGGATGCTCGTGAGGACGCCACTCACCTGCTTTTTCTTGTAGAAGCCCTTCCTGTCGCAGTTGGGGATGTGGACGCCCCTGGGGCTGAGCGTGTCCAAGAACTTGAGGCGGTTCAGGGTGTCCTCCACCTCCCGGCGGCAGGGCCCCTGAGTGGGGGGGGAGCCACGGGTCACTCGGGAGCGCTAGCGGCCTCACGCAGCCCCACACACCCTCCGAGGGACCTGCTATGCCATTCTCACGAGGACCCCGACTGTGGCTCCCGGTCGTGAGGTCCCCTGAGCAAGGCCTGGGGACGGAGTCACCGCAGGTCAGAGACCAGGCGCGCAAAATACTGCCAGCCTCACGGACCATCTCTGTGCAGGGCACTGGGGCGCTCCTGCTCATGTCATCCACCTAGACCCCCAGAAGTTCCCCACGGTGGGAAGAGTCACCCAGTGCCTGGGGCTGGCATCCACTGCCCCCTAGGAGGGGGGAGGAGGAGAGGGAGGAAGGGGGAAGAGGAGGGAGGGAAAAGGAGGGGGAGGACACAGGAGGAGGGAAGAGAGGGAAGAGGGAGGAGG